GTGTATCCCAGCTTAGACAACAATCTTCTACATTTCACTCACTAAGTAAACTTTAAAAAGCCTGACCCTCTTTTGTCCCATGAAATCTGATCTACCTATCACCCTCAAGGGACATCTGGGATTCATCTTATGTTTTCCGCTGGATTGTTGATTAATACAAATTGTTTTGAATGGAATTCCAACATGGCAAAACTCCATGGACTTTATGATTTAAATATAGGATAAAATAGGAGGTCGAGATAAAAAAAAAAAATTGATGTGAGGAAGAAGAAAATGAACCCATAATAATATGGCTTGGTGTCAGCATTAGGTGCCTAAGAGATGAGGATGAAACTCCTGTTTATTTTAAAATGAGTTTCATACATCAAAGGGGTTTTTGATCACCTTTAAAATGTTACATATTTTCATTGCAGTAGAGGAAATCTTGATCTGACAGGATGAATGGAGATTATAGGTATCCATCACAGGCTCAGTGTTTCAGCAGTATCTCATGAGCGTTCATAAGCTAAAGGTCATGAAAGAGCCATGTAGGACCCACAGACTTAAAGAAGGAAAAGTTGTTTCCTATTCACTGGAATTTTTCTTCCCTAAAAAGTCTTAATGAATAGGAAGCTTGAAGATAAATGGACTTAGATAAGACTTTCAAGTTTATTAGTTCTTTCTGATTCTTCCAGGGAGTGCAATGGTAACAGTTCCTTGTATCTGCAAGGGCCCACAGATAATTTCCAAAAGAAAACAAAACTGGTAGGATGTGAATATAGCACCAAAACTGTAGTAACCTGAAGCAGGACTGTAGAGCTTTTGTGGACAGATAACAGGGCTGCCACATGCTCCAAGCCAAACACAGGCATGCAGATGTCATTAGCAAAATACTTCACAGAACTACGTAATTAATGCATAGATGTGCTACCTTGGGTTCACTGCTGCACTGACTCGGCCCATGACTTCTGGCTGTCTCTAAGTGTCTGTCAGTCTGTTGTGCAGACAGACAAGCTGCACGCTGTTACATAGCTTCCAGAATCTGGCCCTTAGCTGAAGGAACACGCAACTTCTCTAAGGGTAGTGAAGCAGTGCTTGCTGGCAGATGTAATATTCAGACCACTAATTTTCTTAAAACTGTCTATTTTGGTATTAAAAGAATATTGTAGAGGTTATGTGTGTAGATGCAAGATGTGTTTTCTTAACTAGATTGAAAGATCCTTCCGGAGGAAGAGATCTCCAAGGCCTTTCAGGTACATTTAGGATTCAGGATTTCAGCTAGAGAAAAGTAGTGTGCCAGGCTGTAACCGTTTTTCACGTCTGCATGCCAAGATAAGTATACATATCTATGTTTCTGACTGCTTGCATGTACTCTTTGAATTGCTTCCAGTTTCACATGAAAACTTTTTTAAACATAAGTTCGTTGTTTTATTTTGATTACAGTGTCAAAGACTGGAGGTATTTGACATCCGTCCTGGTCACCTGCCGTGTCCTGAAAGGTTGTTATGTTGACTGTACATTTTTTATTTCTTTGACTTAAAAGTAAAATCCAACACAACGTAGTATTGAGTACTGTACAAAGCAGGATTATAAACTCTATGTTGTGTGCTTTACTGGGCCTTTCTCTCTTTGTAAAAATAAAGCTGTTCCAAGCCAGAAAGTTCCAAAGGTAGAGCCAAGCTTAAACCAAACAAGAGAGTTGTCTTGAATCTCCACAACAAGCCTTTGCCAAAAAATAGACCTGATTGTACTCATTTACAGACAGACAAATTCAGAGAAGAGTATGCACCAGAAGACTTTGTGGCAGGAAATGAGGCCACAGTGTTCATCTTTGTTTGAAAATAGAGCTAAACCAGATCTCGGGTCAAACTGTAACTGTATTGTTGTTCATACTCTGTGTAAGGGCAGAACATAAAGACTACTTTTTCTCTAATTACCAGCTACAGAGAAATAATGAATTTTGCATATATTTGACTGCTCCCTTCACTGTCCAAACTTTGTCCTATATCAAAAGCTTGACCAGATCACAAAAAGGCCATGATTGCCTCTCAGTTTTTCTCAAGATTTTAAAATCAAATTGAAATACTTCCAACATTTTACTTTTTCTTTGATCATCCATAATATATTAATAGAAAAACCTTCTGCTGTGTAAGTCTTCCGGCAGTAAAATACCAGTTACAAACTTGAACTTTCAACCTCCACTTTCAAAAAGGAAGAATGAGCTCTGTGTGTTTGCTCTTTGATATGTATTTTTCTGGAGCTAGATTTGACCCAAAATCCTTTTTTCTCTTATGTCTTAATCCACTGAACCTCTTGTAACAGGAAGACTATTGCCTTAAATAGTCTTGGTTTAATGACAATATGTTCAGGAGGTGAGACCTCTAATGAGATGAACTCTCTTTTTTTTTATAAATTTCCTTCTGCCCCAGTAGAGACAAGGTGCAAATTACAAGGAGTCTGAGTGAAGAAGGAAAAATAACAATTTTTGTTATTTTTGTACTAAAAACTGAAAGAAACAAATAAATAACAATAGCAGAAAATATTACCCAGCTAACTTCCTCCCCTCTAAGTTAAACCAAAACCTGGAAGGATATTTCATACAAAAGAAAATTCTATGCGGCCAAGGTGATGACATAGGTTCCAACGTAGCAAAGTATATGGAGTGACAATTGCGGGGCAGGGCTGACCAGGTGCGCTGCTTGGACCTGGTGGTTTTGGGCCACGCGGTGGCAGATTTTTGTGCAGCTCCTGAGAGGGGAGTTGTGCCAGGACAGCTCAGCTGGGGCAGGGTGACCTTGGTGTGATGTGAAATACAACTGCAGCTGAGGCAGAAAACACCGCAGCTCAGGCAGGGTGGTCCCTGGACAAAGGCTCCAAGAGTCCATGGTGCTCCAGCGAGCAAAAACCAGGTACAAAGAGAGTGAGCCATTGCACACCTGACTTTTTGTCTCCTGTCTCCCAAGTTCCCAGGATGCTTCACTTGGGGGACCCACCTTTCCAAGATGCTTGGGACAGTCTTCCCCTGTCCAACTCAGACAGGGGACAGTCCCCCACATTCCAAATTATGTGGTGGTATGAAAAAATTCACTAAAAATCCTTCCCATTTAACTAAAGCTACAACAACTTAGATAGCAAAACTTTTGACTGGGCTTTAACCCTTCACTTTTTGGCTGAATTAGACTCAAATATAAAGTCAATTAATTGAAAATTTGCTCACTCGGTACAAAGCAATTTAGATGATCTCTGGCTAAGGCCATGGCTTGTATGGGTGGATAGATCACGACAAGAAATGTTTGGAGTGGTGTGATCCAGGATTATTCAACATTGAAAGAAAATGGCCATAACCACATTGCAACAGTGAATGAGAGGCCAGAATGGCTAAACTTGTTAAGCCAAGGGCTTAGAAATGATGAATTTCTAGCCAAGATTGTGCTGACTTCCTTTTAGTGGAGACTTGTTTTTTAAGACAAGTTTTATTTTAGATCTTAATACTAAAAACCAATCCTTTAGTGTCAGAAAGTGACATTCTGACACACATTCATTTAGTGTCAGAAAGCTTCCATGTCTTTCATACTGAAAGTTGTAACAATCGACCCTTTTTAAAATGTGCAGAAAAGTGTTAGAAAATGAAGGTGTAAGAAACTTAGGTGATCATTTAAACCTAAGAAGATGTGTTTTTCATCAACAGCAATAAGACTTTCCTAGTTGGGAAGATAAGAAGTCTGTGAATAAGGTTGTCATTAATGATGCTCTAATAGGATGAAATGGTTTGAGGGTGAACAGAGAATACAGACATCTTATAAGGATATCGTCTAGTTATGTGGTTGTGTATACATCAAAATCCTTTACTACCAAGACTATAATCAACATGTTGTAGTTCTCAAGCAAAGGGTGTAACAAGTGTTCATTTTATCTGGTATTTTACCAGATATCATTGAGGACCAGATTTTCTTACGGCAGTAAGGTAGAGGACTAAAGGACCTTAATAATCTGAAACAGTCATGTTACCAACATTTGCTCTGGTTTTGCGTCAGCTCTCATGATGTGTAAAGTTTTTCCTAAAGCTTAGTTCCTATATTCCTGTAATTACATGAGAAATTCAGGTTATTTCTAAAAAACTCAGTGAATTTCTAGCCTATAAGGTTGCTTGCACAGGAAAACTTGAAATATTATTCTTCAAGAATAAAACACTGGAAAGGAAATAAAAGGAACTCATGTTTATTTTGCCTAAAGACTCATGATTTTGAAGCTGTCTCGTGTTTTTCAGTGTTAAATGGTAGCAAGAAAGTATATGGGGGTAAGGAGAGCCTCACATTCTCAGTTACAAGGGACTTTAGGTAGTATGAATGGTCTTTGATTTTTATATCAGGTATACTGGGTTCAGGATTAGGGTTATGTCTTACAAATCTCCCAGAGGATTAAAAAAGGGACTTTTCTAAGGTTTTCTCAGTAAAATAATATTAAGTCCCTAATTATGTGAGTTATGAAATCCTAGGTTAAAGAAATGCAAATATGTATCAAATTTTTCTTGTTTTTGTACCAGGTGATTTAAGTCACTGAAGCAAAAAAAAAAGGCTAGCAAAGAGAGCTTAGATAAAGAAACAGATAAATTGTGTAGTTCTTTTCTCTTTGTCTACGAACCAAGAGGAAAATCTGGCTAGAAGAGAGTGGCTGTACACACACACTTCTCCACATACGTGCACAAGTGGAATGAGATCTGGCAAGAGCATTGTGACCCTCTTTTGCTTAACAGCAGGGCTGTGGTACAGTGCACGTACAGTGCACTTGTTATTTCCCATTGACACATGGTCTTGATGTTCTTTCAATACTTTTGCAGAAAGAAGAAAGAAAAGTGCAATTATCCAGTTGAATTATGTGTAGATGTAACTATTTCAATAACTCTTCTTTGTCTAAACAGAAACTCTCTATATCTAGCAGCTGTGGAGCCCAGTGTGCTGCATGATACTGGAAGTGGCTGTCCTGAACAGACCTGCTGATCTTCTCTTCTCTCTTTTCTGCAGGATTGTCCACCAGAAGCAGGTGATTTCCGCGCTCAGCAGTGCTCTGCTCACAACGACGTCAAATATCAGGGACAGTTTTATGAGTGGCTTCCTGTCTCTAATGACCCTGACAACCCATGCTCACTGAAGTGCCAGGCCAGAGGAATGGCTCTGGTTGTGGAGCTGGCACCAAAGGTTCTGGATGGGACCCGGTGCTACACTGAATCCCTGGACATGTGCATCAGTGGCTTGTGCCAAGTAAGGAGAGAAACCCTACCCTAACACCTGACTACTTTCCTCAGATCTCTCTCACATGGCTCACTCCCTGTCCTCCATATTTGTGTCATTTTAGGGACTCAATTTTAAACATCTGTTTCCATTCTCTTAAACTGATTTCTTGTACCGTTTTTTTGGTTGAAGTGTACAATTCCAAACGTTATTTTCACACTTTATGTTGTTTCCTTAGGGTTCTTTTAAAGGATTATGTTATCAGTTTTTGAACTCTACTGTATAGTTAGCTGCAGTAGCAGATCTCATTTGAAGCATCAAAAGAAAATAATGATGTACCTTTTAATCTGGATGCACCAAAGTTTTTCAAGTCTATCAAGTTACATTATCTTTGAGGATTATTGCTCCCTGTGAGTCACAAACTACATGGTAGTAGATGGGATACTAAAGTAAAAAAACTGCCACTCCTCCTGTAAGACTAAGCAAGCTGCTACATCTCTTTGGACCTCAGCATCCCCATTTGTTAAAAGTGGGAGATGGGGACTTTCTCACCCTTCACTTCACAGTGCATGGAGATCTATTGGTCATTTGACCAATTTATTCACGTCCTAATTTGTTTTTATATTATGTTTGTGCTTTTATTGATATATTGCTACTGTTTTGAACCTACCTACATCAGAGTTTAGTCTTCTGAACTATATGTATGCTACACGCTGATGCAGGGGAGGACTTTCATGCCATCTCTGTTAATTACTGAACACACCTAAATCTCAAAAACAGTTGAGTGTAAATTCATGGTTCAGTGCCCAGTCTCTTTCAAATCTGTGTAGACTCGATGTGTTGTTGGCTTTCTAGTGAATTTTGAGCCACTTCATGTTCCTCTAGAAGCTTTTCTTCCTGTTTCTTTTCTCTCTGATTTTCTATTCTGAGCCAGAAGCAGTCCTGCACTAAATGAAACAGAGTAAGCAGTTACTAAGCTAATCGCATTCATGATCTAAAAAAGGCAATTGCCTAGACCTCTTGATGTCAGCTGAGTGCATGTTTCTCAAAATTCTAGATTGCCTAATGAGACAGACAAATTTCAGTCTTATTTTGAGCTTTTAAACATTTTAAAAACTTAACCGGAACCATAGGAATCTGGATGGAAAAAAAGATTCGAAGTTTTTTGCATATAATGGCCTAGAAATTAGAAACAGAGAATTCAACCTCTGTCAGGCTGGTTTCTGTTTTGATCCAAATACAAAGCGTACTTTTTTTGAGAAAACCTTCCCTTAGAGTTCATAATCATCCACTACTGAAACCAACTCATTTAATTTCCCATGACAATTCTTACTTCTTGGAAGGTTGAAGTTAGCTACACTATTATAACTAATATTATTTCTTAATTGTCTCTGTGACTGGAGAACAGAAAAATTAGCACTAGTGTCCCTGAAGAATTTCACTTAAACCAACCCTTTCATTATATACCATAAAATGGTAGAATAATTTTAATGCATTAACACAACTGTATATTTTCCATGTTCTTCAGCATTCAATTTCTTTATGAACTTTTGCCATATATTTACAGTTACTGCATCATTTTTTAGGATGACCCAAAAAATTAAAATATAAATGTTCATGCTGTATTTCTCACAGTGAAAAATTTTGTATTTTGGTGCATGTTAAATTTAAAGCAATTCTAAGTATTCTTATCTCAGTGTGTCCCTGTTTACCAGCCATCTCTTCGTGACAGGAGAGGTACTGCATTAGAAAATCCATAACTGGATTTGCCCTACCTATATGCTTTAGGACAGCAACTGCTTTACTATCTGTAATCACAATAGCTAATACTACATAAGCAGTCCATCAAGGTAAACTGTATGGAATTTGCCATAATAAATGGTGAACCCTCCTTAAAAGCAATGGTCTTCCATGGCCTTCTATAAAAGTTCTTTTAAAAGAATAGGAAACTCCAGTGTTATGGAAGAACAAGTGGAGAATTCTTCATCTGTAACATTTGTTTGAATAAACTTACTTTTATAAGCGTGGTGAATACATGTGAACTTCAGAGAAGAAAAAATATTATGTTAGAAATTGTTCATTTGCAATAGTAGCTGCAAGCTACTACTTACCTAAGAATGTTGACACACTGTAAACATAACAATCACATATCTCAGTAGTTTGTGAGAGTTCATATGATCCTGGGAGTTCAGCAACATTTGGGGCAGCGCAGCAGACAACTGTAATAATAGGAAGGCATGGTTTGTCACAACTGCAAAAAATGAAATCTCCTAGGGTGTATATCGGTGTAAAGATCTGAAGATTAAAAAGTGAAGTATGTTTCTTCTGTAGTTTAAGTTTTAAGGGCAAGTGCCAGATTCTGCACCTGAGACAGTGCAACCCAGGATGTACATGCAGGGTGGGGAATGAGATGCTGGAAAGCAGTGCTGTGGAAAGAGACCTGGGGATCCTGGTTGATGGCAAGTTGAATATGCCAGTGCCCTGGCAGCCAGGAGGGCCAACCGTGTCCTGGGGGGCACCAGGCAAAGCATTGGAATCCAGTCGAGGGAGGGGATTGTCCCGCTCTGCTCTGCACTGGAGTGGCCTCACCTTGAATATTGTGTGCAGTTTGGGGCACCACAATATAGGAAAGATATTAAGCTCTTAGAGTGTCTGAAGGAGGGCAACAAAGGTGAAGGGCTTTGAGGGGAAGCCATATGAGGAGTGGCTGAGGTCACTTGGTGTGTTCAGCCTGCAGAAGAGAAGACTGAGGGGAGACCTCACTGCAGTCTACAAGTTCCTTGTGAGGGGAAGCAGAGGGGCAGGCTGCGGTGGGTCTGGCTGAGCCGGAATTTATTTCCCCGCAGTAGCCCTCACAGTGCTGTGCTCTGAGTACAGCACTGTAACATTCCTTCTTGAGTGGGAGGGGACACAAGTAGGCCAGGTGACCCAAACTGCCCAAGGGGATGTTCCATACCATATGACGTCAACCCAGATATAAAAGCTGAGGCAAGGAGCAGGACAGGAGGCATTCATTGTCTCTGATGGCTGCCTGCTGTGCTGCAGCCCTGCTTCTCAGAGAAGTGGCTGACCATTGCTGCTGATGGGAAGTAGAGATTACCTGCGAGCTCCTGCTTTGTGCCCACACGCTGCTTTTGCTTTCTTTTTTGCATAAATATAAACTGCCTTATCACAACCCACGCTTTGTGTTGTTTTCTTTTCCTACCTTAGTCTCTCCCCTGTCCGGCTGGGAAGGGGAAGGGATAGAGCAGCTGGGTGGCTACCTGGTGTTCAGCCAAGGTGAACCCACCACACAGGCACTGATCTCTTCTCTGTGGTGACCAGTGACAGAAAACAAGGAAAGAGCATGAAGCTGAGTCAGGGACATTTAAGTTGGATATCAAGAAAACATTTTTCACCCAGGGTGTGGCTGAGCATTTGAACAGGCTCCCCAGGGAAGTGGCCACAGCACCAAGTCTGACAAAGTTTAAGATGCTTTTGAACAATGCTCTCAGACACATGGTATGACTCTTGGGGTGCCCTGCACAGGGCCAGCAGTTGGACTTGATGATCCTTGTGGTTCTGTTCCAACTCAGCATATTCTATGATTCTATGACAAAAGATTCTTTGCAGTAATTGCTCTGCATTGGAGATAAAGAGATATATTTTCTGAATTGCTCAGAGTAAAACTACTGAAAGCGCCTTTAAGTTTACTATCCCACTGGCTTACATTGAGCCAAGTGTTATGGCAACAAAGAAGGAATTGAATGTTGTTCAGATAGAGCATTTTATGAAACATATAATTACATCTATTCAGTTACAGTCTATACAAGAATTAGTTGTAACCGGACTTGTCTATGTCTATCTCGTATTGGCCTCTTTAGCCACCACCGTGCTTGTAGCAAATGTGGGTAGAGCCCTTCCCAAATCTTCGTTTGCGAAGCCCAGCCATGAATGAATGAATGAATACAAGAATTAGTAAGAGTTAAGATCAGTGTATGCTTACGTAGACATAGAGCATTTTTCCCAGTGCTTCAAACAACAGTGTCAATTTTCTTAACTAACCACAGGGGTATAGTTCTTAGTGTGCAAGATTTGGGTCAGCCCGTGGCCTGTTGTGTGCTCACAAGCTGTTCTTCAGGCTATTAATGGCAGAAATGAAGGGTTAGTTGTATTGCCTTCTGCGTTCGTTGGTGCTCACTCCTGATTTAAAGGTGATGGTTTTCACTGTCGTTGGTAAGTGCACATTTGTTAAAGAGGTGCAGTATTTGGAAATTAGAAGATCCTTCTCTCATTTTTATCCCTTCATTTTTCATATTGTTTGAAGGTTTAGAATTCCCAGTACCTTAGTGGCATATTTATGAGTTTTTGTTTAATTATTACTTTTTGAGCTGAAGACTTTGTTTTGTGTACTGGCCACCTGTTAAAGTCAGAAGAGACTTCTGATTGTAAGCAGGACAAGCAAAGCCAATTTTGTGAGTAGAATAAGCTGTATCCCTGAATCTTTGATTCAACAAAGAGTATGGTTAGAGATTCTTAAAAAGATGTTTAACTTTTATTTACAGAGATAGCATACTGGAGAAGTTATGCAGTAGCTTATTCAGATATACTTCATGGCATAGGGCAGTACATATGACTGTGATAGTTCAGGAATCGTGTAAGCTGCATGCATCTTGCCTCTCTCCATAGTATATAAACATAAATTTCTCTTCCATGAAGAGATGGTTAATATCTTGCCTTTTTTCTTTGTGTTAAACACCTAAAAAATTAATGGGAATTAATTTCGAAGTATTATTTTTTCTTTCTGTAGTTTTACTCTTAAATCCATAGTGACACAGACTGAACAACGGAATTTTTCAAAAAAAGCTTTGTATGTAATGTCTTTTACTTCCTTCTAATTGTCTTGTTCCTCCTAAGTATTTTAAATTCCTTTCTGTATGGTTATCTGTGTTATTTGGGTCCCTTCCACTTCCTCCTATTTTAGAAGAAATACAGATTACTTCTCAGATGTAATTTTTGGGTCTTGTTTTGAGCATACCTCAGGTATGGGC